AAAAACTAAAGATTTTTCAACTAGAGAACGCCTACCCTTCTTAGTAGTGTGTTCCGTCCTGAATTGAAATAATCTTACTTACGATAAACTCGACTACTCGATATCCTCTACTACATTCACAACACATATCAAACTTCGATATCTAAACATAACTAGACTCGATGCTCCAGAACTACGACACCACCTCGTTTAACTTCACCAAGTTCTACAAACGATAATACCAATCAATAACGATTTCACTGGACCTACTACTACACTTTAACAGTCAATATAATTTGATATCTTAATACCGAAAGAATCAATACTCCCCCCCCCCCCCCCCCCCCGAACTCCAGAACTACGATACTTCATCAACTGCATTCTATTTTCTCTATTACTAATCAGATTCCACTAGACATTCATCTACAAAACAGCCGAATAAAAATGATGACACTTTAACACTTCGACACTGTATACCTACGAAACCATATCAGCAACAGCCTTCCGCCGTTACTCCCAAATCTAAACGATTCATCAAAACTTACCAAACAAGTACAATACTTTGAACACCCCGTCATTACAAACTCTATACACCAGGACAGAATTCGAATTCAAAGTCAGAGAAAACGAGACTTACACGCCCAATTAAAATTAGATAACCGTTTGAAATGTTCGAAATTTAAATTACGAACGTATTCAATCGTTTTCTACATCAATTATGTGACACCAAATTAAAAGGCAAAGTGACTGGTAAAAAAGCGCCCCGACCTTTCCAAATTAGGGAGGTGGGGTTGCATTTTCACTATCGCGAATAAATATAGGCTATATAGACCTAATTTTGGGATGGGGGTGCAAAATTGAAAGTTCATCATGGGTGCCGAAATAGATCGCTATACCTTTATAAAAGTTATTAATTATCAGGTACTTTTTGATAATAGCGATTAAACTTTTTGCGTCCATAGGGATGGCGCCCTAGACGACCGTAGGTAGCAACGGCCCTGGGACTGTGGGGCATATGTCCCCGGGCGCCGAGCTTAGGGGGCGCCAAAATGGGTTGGAAAAATAAGTTGAAAGGTTGAGGGGGCGCAAATTGAAAGTTTGAGGGGGGGGGGGGTGCAAATGAAAATCTCGAGGGGGGGGGGTGCAAATCGGAAGTTTGAGGGGGGGGGGGTGCAAATCGAAATCTCGAGGGGGGGGGGTGCAAATCGGAAGTTTGAGGGGTGGGGTGCAAATCGAAATCTCGAGGGGGGGGGGGGGGTGCAAATCGAAAAGTTTGTCCCCGGGAAGGGTCGCTACGCCTCTGCTGTGGGGTTGTACTCATGTCGGTGATGCTCGACCATGTGTAGTTTAATCTTGGTTTACTTTTACCCTGGTGTATCAATATATTTTTTTTGGAAATGTGAACACTGATAATATAAACATCTATAGAAACAATATTAAAGCAATAATATATAGAAAGAAATATAAAATATGATAATTTACAAATATTCGGTTCTTAATCTTAACATTTTTCACCTGAAATACTAGACAAATATTAATTAAAAGCTAAAATAACACTCGTACAGATTAGAAATTCCTATATTTATTAAGCAGTGAACAACGAATCAACTGTTTCATGTTTTGTTTCTAATTGTATAGAATTGTATTGAAAAATTGGGTAGACGCATTTCAAGATTTTCTCACTAGCCTAGAAGATTTAAGTGTACACATTTTTAACTTACCTTTTCCCATTACAAAAAAAAACACTCTTTCTACCGCCAAGCTGCTCACAAACAAAATATCATTTACCATAACCCCAACATCATTTGATTCATTTCCCAACCGTATACATACAACCCCGATACCCCTAATTATAATACCACTTCCCATCCTCCTTATATCAATTCCCATACCCCAACTACCATGTTCCTTAGCTTCTTTCAGGCATCTCTTCGACGACAATACCCCACCACTCCCCCCCCCAAACAGTTTAGACCACCACCACCCCCACCCCTTCCCCGAAACACGTCCACCTCCCACGAAACCAAATTTTTGATATATAATTTTTATTCAAAATATAAATTTTAAGTAGTGTTCCACCCCCCCCCCCCACCCCCCACCCCCCCCCCGGAAATTTAAGCATGCAATTTCCCCCCTCCCCGAAAGTTTTAAGTGTCCACCCTAATATCACAAAGCTCCCGGAGAAAATGTCTGAAAGAAACACTGTCTTTCAATTCCCCAGTGACCCATTACCACTTTCCATTACCCAATCACCACCGATGTAAATTTGTACCACTATTATTAGACCTAGGAGCAGTGGCGGAACTAGAAAAAAAAAGGCCACCCCGCAAAAAAATTTTTAGCCCCCCCCCCATATATATATATATATATATATATATATATATATATATAATATATATATATATATATTATATATATATATATATATATATATATATATATAAACACATAATACGAACATAGAATACTTATTGCTGCCCTGTCAGGTTTTTTTTTTTAAATTTATTTTTAATGAATACAAATTACAACATAATTCATGTGTGTAAGTGTATTAGTACGTTTAGGGAAAATCAGTTACATTTTATTTCTGCTGGTAAGCCTCTTAACTTCTGGTCGGTGAAAAAAACATAAATCATGAAAGCTTTGTATAAGTAATGGTGTCTCGTATTATGTTTATTTTAACGTTTCTTTGGATTTATTTTATTAATTTTAAATACATTTCCTTTTTATACAATGTCATTCTTTAGTAAGTATTTTTGTTAAAAAAATAATAATTAAGAGAAGTAATTGCTTTTTAATTTGTTTAGTTCAAATCTATTAAAAGGAGCTTATGAGTATCCCTATTTGACTATTTATAATGGGAAATAAGTCATGGAAGTGGTTTGAACATTTGCTTATCTTTGATAAGTTTGATTGTAGGAGAAAGAGGACTCGGCTTTCACAGTGGTTTAAAAAAAAGGGAAAAAGAATATACAAGTGCGTATAACCCAACCGCAGCTACGGTAATCTTTTACAAAACAATCATCAAGTCGAAAATGACAGAAAATTAATTTTTTTTAACTATATTTTTTGTTATATATATGGTCGGCTGTGGGCCCCTAAATGGCGTTGCCCCCCCCCCCCCCCCCCCCGCATTGCGGGGTCTGGCGGCACTGTAGTTCCGCCCCTGCCTAGGAGACGACATACAACTGAAATTCTACTTATATATTCTACTGATAACAATTTTCCAGCCACACAACTGCGCCTGTTACATTTGTTTGCAAAAACGAGTCGAAGGAATCGATACCTCCAGATGTTGCATCCGCCGAGCCACGTCGTATCGATACGCGAGCGCTCATGTGACAGCGATTATCCAATAAGAAAAGCTTTGATAGGCTATTTTTATTTTTAGAGGCTGATAAAACTTAGTGGAGTAAAACAAAACGAGAGAAGTTTGATGTTTTTATGCTTGCTTTTATTATGGTCGAGTAGAAAGAGAGAGCGTGAAGAAGAAGAAACATGCCCTAATACATTTTAGGGATGTGATCGAATTACTTTTACTACGTTAAATTGTTGTAAAAGAGATTATCTTAATCATTAAAGTTAGGTTTAAACTACGGTTAGTGTTAGCGATGTGATTCGCTCACAAGTATACCCATTGGTGATATTTACAATAAGGGCTAGAAATTAAACATGGTTAGTTAGCCTAATTGAATTTTTGTTTCTTTGCAATGTTTTACCTTTCTCTTTAGTAATATGCAGGCCTACTTTTAGAGTCTGCAAGGTAGCCGTTTTTGTAATTAGGGATAACTCATCTTAGAATTACACTTTTTTCTTCTTTAAAAGTACAAGAAAAGGGTAATATTAGTGGCTTCGCTAGAACGGGTGTCACCCGGAAGTAACTGAGGGTTGTCACTTGGGGGGGGGGGGGGGGGTCGTCCATAAATGACGTCACACTCGTAGGGGGGAGGGGGGGTCCGTAATTTTGTGACGCTGTGTGATGAGGGGGGGGGGGGGTTAAGATGGTGTGACGTCACTTTTTTGCAATATAAAAAAGCAAGGTTAGAAAACAAGTTTCAGCCGTTTTTTTTCGCGTTTTAGAAAACGGTTTTAATAAATTGTAATAGGATTTGATCAAAATACTCTATGTTGACAGAAGTTCTGACAAGATTTTGGAAAAATATCGATGTTTTTAAGAAAAATTCAACAGCGATTTTGAGGGGGGGGGGGGGTTTGTAGGCTGAGATGAGACGTCATTTTAGGGAGGGGGGGGGGGGGGTCTGGCTTTTTGTGATGACTTGTGAGGGAGGGGGGGGGGGGGAATAAAAATCGTCAGAAATAGCGTGACGTCATTTATGGTTGACCCCCTTGGTGCTGTAACTGAGGGGTGTCACCTGGTGTGGTAACTGAGGGTGTCACCTCACACTCCCAGACTTTTTTCTCCTGGGGGTGGGGGGGGGGGCGCTTGAAATTTTTTGTAGGGGGGGGGGGCGGACTCAATTTTTATCGGGAAGCCGGAGGACACTGGTAAAATTATACATTTTCTGTATAAATTCGTTGGGGGTGGGGGGGGGGGGGGGGGGCTAGACGTTCTTTGAAAGAGGGGGTGAAGAAAGAAACTCTGGGAGGATATCTGCAGATAGGAACGCCATACAACGAGGACAGTGGTTCTACCTTAGCGAAAACAAATCTTTAGAACATGTAGATCCAAAACTCAACACCAAACCTAACAAAGTTCTTAACTTAAACCTTACCCTTACCACAAATTCTGTTCCCGGTGTGTTAACCTATTTCCCTAACCCAAAGCAGCTCCGTGAAATAGAAAAGAAAACTACAAAATTAATAATCATCACTGAAAAAGAATGTCATTCAATGATCACGGTCAACCTAAAAAAATAAACCCAAATTTAACAAACACGTTGATAACGTTTAAGACACCCCCTCTCGCCCCCCTCCCCACCCTCTCCCGCCACCACCACTGAACCCTACAACGGATTATGCTAATCCCTCCAGCTGTTCGTCTGCTCAATGGCGCCGACACGTGTGCCTTGTGAAACGTGTACCGTCGACGTGTTGTGATTTCATGTGCGTGCTCACGTCTGCTTTTACCTAAAATTAACTCAACTCCCAATCTAGCTTTTCGCTAATGAATTCAAATGAAACACACATTTCATAATTAATGTGGATTATCATGTGTTTATATTAAATTAGTATTTTTTGGTTCAAAAGTGTTTCTGTTAAAATGTTCAAAACTGACAATTCCAATAGAGGATATTTTTTCCTGATCTTACTCGTGGTTGTAGTACATTTTCTAGAAGCGTCTGCCATAAATGACAGGGGGGAATCAATGGTGACGTCATCGCACACGATCCAGAGATGGGGGTCGGTGCGTCTGGCAGAAAATCTGCAGAAGTACATCGAGCATGAAACGTTAAGGTTAAAGGTTATAACTAAGTAAGTGAGATTTTAATTTACTTTTACACCCACTTTTATCGATTCTTTCTGATGATTTCGTGTTTGCTTTTTTGCTTTTTTTTTCACAGAAATGTTTTATTTAATCAGTGCAAAAACTCTAAAAACACGTATTTATTCGAAAAACGCTTTCTAATTAACTGATTTAATAATTAAAATATTACATATCCACACTTGATTTCTATAGTCAGGGGTTCTTTCAGCTTTCTCTCGGGGAGGAGGGGGGGGGGGCGAGGCCCCGGAGTACGTCTACTGGCCGTCCATGAAATAGAAAAAAAAATGTATAGAAAATATATACTTTAACCCTTCCCCCTCACCCTCACCCCCCCCCCCCTCCCCTGGAAATTTGCAGTACATCTTGGAAGTTTCAAATTCCTTCCCGTCCCCGTAGAAAAATGGGTGAGGGTTAATTGACGCAGTTGTATTATGGAGAGGGGTGGGGGGGAGGAGTTGTAAATTAATTTACCTCTCAATATAATAGAATCGGTTTATCTAAATAAAATTGGAAATACAATAGTAAAAATCGTACTTTAATTTTTTTTTGTTTGTTTGGTTTTAAATTACAATGTCAAGAATCAAATGATTTCCTGATCATGCTCCCAAGGTAATAGCCCCCCCCCCCCCCCCCACACACACACATACACACCCACACACTTCCACTCACACATTTTCACAGATTCTCACTATGAAGGCGGATACTTGCTCTTGTCTATCCAATCCACAATCAAAATGTTTAAGCGTACGCTGACTGTGTCAGTCACTCCATTATATTATGTAGGGCCTCTTTTTAAGGAACAAATCTAAGCGTCATCCAATAAACTCAGTTGGACTATCCTTGGATTTATAAAGTAGCCAATGTGGCAACGCTGCTTGCTGTTTTCCTTTAATTAATGTGACCAGTTTACATTATGATGATTTATAATGTGGCGTGGTCTAGTAGGTAAAGCTCATGGCTACTAAACCGAAAATTCTCGAGTTCGAACTCTCAGGCTGATGAGGCCCTTTAGCTGGGGACAGCCACTCTTCTAGGAGACAACTCCAAAATCAAACAACTGCTGCCTTGTACTTGTAGTTTGTTCTTGGTTGGACAAAGGCTATGGAAGCAAATCCAAAAAGAAAAGCAGGCTGAAATCGGAAGTCAATGGCCTCAATGGCGCATAACCAGTTGACACGTATCCTTAATTGTGATGGAGGCGTGGTCGAGTCGGCAAAAAACTCATGGTTGATAATTTCGAAAATAGTCTCGAATTCATACCCTCCGGCAGATAAGGCTCGATCCCTTCCAAACACTAAAAATTAAGAACGAAGAAGAAGAAGAAAGATTCAGACCAGTGGTTCTTAACTTTTTTTGGAGGCACCGAAACCCCACCTGTTTCAAATCCGCATTGATCGAACTTTTCGGAATAAATCTATTGTCCACATTGACAAAATTCGATCGTCAATCACATGAGTCGGGTGTGTGTCTTGACCTCTTCCGAACCCTTGAGATGGACTCTTTGAACTCCTGGTGGTTCGATGGCACCCAGTTTTAGAACCACTGACTTAGATGTTACGTGTATTTTCATTCATACCTTTCTTGCTTACTCAATAATATTTGCTCACAATGTAAACCGGGTATCTTTCAAACATTTTTTTTCACCCCCGGGGTGAGGGAGGGTGGAGGAAGGTAGGGGCACTTCAAACTTTATGAAACCTAGTTGCATTAACACGTTACCCAAAAAATATTATTATTTAAAATGTAATACCACATGACTAACGTGTATGATCATTGCTATGGTTTCAGTTTTGTGCTAATTATGAGTTATGTGTTGCATGGTTTTTTGTGAGTGTTCATTATGACCAGTGGCGTAGCGAGGTCGGGGGTCACCCGGTTCGGCACTTAATGGTGTCACCCTACCAGAAGCGTAGCGACCCTTTCAATTTGACGCGCTCTCTGGATCAACCTTTCAATTTTCGATTTGCACCCCACCCCCCCCCCCCTCAAACTTTCGATTTGCACCCCCCTCAAACTTTCGATATGCCCCCCACCCCCCTAAAACTTGCGATGTGCACCACCCTCCACCGTTGTCGGGATTTGTCAAATTTGCTCTTAAAAGACTATTTAACACTCTAATTAATCACTTAATTAAGTGGAATTATCATTTTTCTCTCAATATATTTTGCAATTTTTCGCCTTGGTGTCACCCCCCTAAATGGTGTCACCCAGTGCGGTCCGCACCCAACGCCCCCCCCCCCCCTTCCTCGCTACGCCACTGATTATGACTAGTTAGCTGGGGGTTTTAATTATGATTTTTATCGGTCGTTGCTACAGTTTCAGTGCACACGAAGAGGAAATTCCATTTGTAGAGCAGCGTCTCAAAGAATTTAAAATGTGAGTAGACGGCACTACACCACAAATACTACTGCTAAATTGTTTCGCTTATTTCCTTATAAAATACTTACCTATACTACATCTACTAATTTAGTATACTGGATAAATATTATAGGTTCCAGTTCTGTTTTTTAATTTGCCTAGATCTTAAGCCTACACGCTTTGTTTTACAGAATTCACGAGGAGCTGTTAAAAAATACATCGAACACTGCATTTCACAATAGTTTTAAAAAGAACCACCCAACAACTGTTTTTGCAGCCATTCGAAATTTTTTGGCTGCATTTGAAGAAAAACTGGCCAACCAAACTAAATATGGAAAACGTAAGTGGGCCTAAGTAATAAAAAAAAATTATTTTAAAAAAAAAATACATTAAAAGGGAAATAACTCTTTAAATTAAAAATTATTAGCAAAGTGCAGATGAATAAGATAATTTTGAAAATAAGCTTTTTTTAATACATTATTAATTATTATAAAATTGTAAAAGCTAAAAAAGTAATATTTTAGGATCTTTTTTTTTCAAATATAATTTAAATTTTTAAACATAAATAATCAAACAGACCCTTAAAATTTCTCATATGTAAATTATATTTTTTTTAAAATTAATTTAGTGTATTGCTTTTTGTGCTTTTCCGTTCCTAGAATTCTGACGCGGCCTTATTTAGGTAAATGATAAAAAACAAATTATGACAGCTTTGAACAGAACCTTTCATTGTAGAGTACTATGGCTTTACCTAATGTGTGATACAGAGCCGTAGCGACGGGGGGGGGGCGGACACTGTTAAAAGTATATATTTTGTATATAAATTATATAAATTTCATTTCGTTCGGGGGGGGGGGGGGGGAATTTTTTCGGGGGGCCCCGAAGAGATGCCTGGAAGAAACTTGGGGGGGGGGGGGGGGGGAGGCGCCAAATTGAAAGTTTGTCCCCGGGCGCCGAGAAGGGTCGCTACGCCTCTGATGTGATAATAAAATAGTAGGGGAAATATTTAAAAAATGATATGTCTAGGTAGCGTACAGTGATTTTTAAATAATTGATTACCAGAACTTCATTCCAAACTCCCTCTCCGGTGCGTGGAGGGGGGGGGGGGGAATACATTGATTACGTTTAAGACTTCTTATAAAAAGCAAGTCTTTTATAAATTAGTCTGTATTATTGGCCATACATTAATAAAAAACGCAAAATAACGGCTAAAACTCGTTTTCTAGCATTGCTTTTTTACTTTCTCGTATATACGAAGTATAGAGAAAGTATTGTTATCGTGGGAAAAAAAAATCGAGATTTTTACAAATCTCGACGTTTTACACCTCACTGATACGGAAAAACATAATTTTGCAATCTTGTCCGTATGTCTGTGTGTGTGTGTGTCTGTCTGTCTGTCTGTCTGTCTGTGTGTAAACACGATTACTTGAGTACCGTTACAGCTAGGTTGATGAAATTTCATATATAGGTATTTTATCAAAATCGTAGATCCGTATCAACTTTTGAGCGATTTCCGACAATCGGAAGTGCTACTATTTCTACTTTGAATTTTTCAAAAGCCTATAACTTGAGTATTATTTCAGATAGATAAATGAAATTTCACATGTAAGTAAAATATCTAATTCTCTACCTTCTATTAAATTTTGAGTAATTTCCGTTGATCGGAAGTACTAATTTACGCTATTTCCGATTTCTCAAAAAACGCATGTAAATTTATAAAGAACTATTAATATTGCGCACTATTATGCGCTTTTTGCTTTGGCGTTCACTTGGTGCGCAATTCTTTTTTCTACTAGATTTTATTCTATTTTAAAAAGTTTAAGTAAACAAAAATCTTGTCTATATTCCGAGTGGCCATCCCACGTAGTGCTATATTAGAATATTCGAGAAAGTTTAGGGGAGATCACTCCCGGTTTATTTATAATGCAAAAGTGTAACGTCACACCATCTGACCCCCCCCCCCCCCCTCCCCCTTATCACACACTGTCACAAAATCACGGACCCTCCCCCCTACGAGTGTGACGTCATTTGTGGACGACCCCTAGGAGATATGGGGGGTTCGTAATGTTGTGAAGAGTGTGTAATGAGGGGGGAAGGGGTGGGGTTCAGATTGTGTTACGTCACACTTTTACACTTGAAAAAAAAAGTAATGTTAGAAATTTAATTTTAGCCGTTATTGTGATAGAAAATTATTAATATACTCTATTTTGTCATTAATTTTGAAAGAAATCGATGTTTTTAAAAAAATCAATAGGGATGCTTTAGGCTGAGATGAGACATATTTTTTGGTGTGGTTCTAGGGCTTTGTGGCGTTTTATAAGGAGTGGGGGGGGGGGGGGGGCGGAGGTTAAAATCGTAAAAAAAAAAGCTTACCGTAATTTATGGATAACCCTTTATGAGTAGTACTATTGTTAAATTTTACTTATTATTATTTTACTTATTTTCAATTTCTAAAAATGGTTGTATGTCTTATTAAATAGTTGTTTTGTTTGTTTTTTTTTATCTTTTGCCTACTCGATTCTATTTCATTGCAATTTGATTTATCTTTGACTAAAGGAAGCAAGCTTAAACAGGCACAAAATTAGGACCTGCTGGAAATGTACTTAACCCGAAGTGCATGTACGTTTTATTTATAGCTCATTTAATTATTTATTTTTTATATGACAGGTTTGAGAGAATTTTTGGAAGCCAACGACGTGAAGCCGTTACCCACTCGTTTAGATTTAGAGCGAACCAGTACCGCCATTACAGTGATACAGGCGACCTACAACATTTCGATGTCTGACCTACTTGCGGGGTCAATCAAGGGCAACCAAGGGGAGCCACTCACACCTTCTGATTGTTATGACATTGGTGAGTTTCAAATTTAAATCTTTAATCGTGAATAAATTTAAATTTTTTTAATGGAACTTTAACTTTCTAAGTTATATCAAGCATAATGAGGCAATACAGTAGGCAATGAAGTAGTTGCTCTTTTTTTCTGTCGGTGTTACGATTGTCAAGATTAGGGTCCAGATTATCTTTACCTTTAATTTTTTTAAATGTAATCCTAGTCCCATAGGCCCATAGGCAAATACAGCTATTTTACAAGGGCAAGTAACTCAGTATTTATTAATTACCAAGAGATTTCAATGGATAATCAGTCGTGTTATTTTGAAATAAAGTAAAAACTCACTGTATTCTTTTTTTTTATGTAAATTAGCTCACATTTTAAAAGGATTCATTAATTTAAAATAGTAAATAGTATGCCTTATTTGTTTTTACTTTTTTTTTTAATCTTTTGGTTTTTGTTATATTTATTAGGCCCCTTTTAGCAGTTTATTCTAATAACTCCAAATAGGGAAGGGGGGGGGGGGGTCAGGTAACACTTCTTTGAGTTGCAATAATTATAAGGTCTACAGACCTACCTGATCATATTTAGTCATGACCCTTAGTTTAACCAAGTGGCTTGGGTAGGCTATGTCTCAGAGGCGTAGCGACCCTCCCCGGCGCCCGGGGACAAACTTTCGATCTGCACCCCCCCCCCCCCTCGAACTTTTCATTTGCACATAATGACTTTTTTAATATAATTTTCAGCCGATTTTATTTATATATTTTTTAGGCCATCAAAAACAGTTCTTAAAGTCCAGTTTTCTGGACATAATGACTTTTTTAAATATAATTTTCAGCTCATTTTATTTTTGCATAATTTATGCAGGAAAGACAGTCCTGAAGTCCGGCTTGCTGGACACAGCGCAGGAGTGGCTGGGCGTGGCCATCAGTGGGTTTGACCTGGCCACTGTGGAGAAGGCCCAGCTGACCTTTAACCTGAGCGACGCCCTGATATCATTGGCTAAGATTTATTATCGTGTGAGTACAGCTGAAGCTTCTAGACAGGTGCACAGTGGAGTATGCAGGGGGGGGGGGGTGTTGGGGGGTGGAACCCCACTCGTGACAAAATCCTCCCTACACCTCTCGTTATAGATGTTTTATGCTAATTATGGGTGTTCTGTTTTGTGTTTTGTTTTGTTTTTTTTTTTTTTAATTATAATTTGCATGGCTCATTGTGGGTGTTAATATTGATTTTTTTTTTAAATAAATAATCAATAAAATATGTTTTCAACTCATTATTGCTGAAGAAAGGTTGATTTAGTATGTTGCTGCTCAGCAGTTTAAAAAAATAATTCTCACAATTTATGTAAGCTCAATAAGGGGCCTGGTATTGAAGGACTATAAAAACCATTCTTCTAGAATTTTGTAAAGTGGAGCCATTTGTCAACAGCTCGAACCCCCTGGAAGATAAGGCTCGATAGCTGGGGTCAGTAACTCATCTAGGAGAGACAACTCCAACATCGAACAATTTGCTGCCTTGTAGTTTGTTCTTTGATAGTCAGAGGCCAAGGAGCCAACTCCAAAAAGAAATCGGAGTCAATGGCGCAAAACAAGTTGACATGTAATACTTAATATTTTGGAGGGAATACCTTCTAACACTAGAATTAAGAATGAAGAATTCAACAGCTATTTGAAAACAGTTTTACTGTAATCCCCCCCCCCCCCCCCCCCCCTCCTACTAGGCTTAAACCACAAGTAAAGAAAAAGTTAATATAATTTTTATTTGTTTTTGTAAAATTACAGAGAAAAGAAAATGATAAAGCACTTCCACTTTTTGAGAAAGCTGCTGAATTAGGTAAGAGATTCCGCAGTCTGGGAAAATATTAGCTTCATTTATAATGTTATAATATAGCATTGAACTGGAAAAGAATGATTTAAAAGCGACATCTCCTACTTTTTTAAAATCAATGTATTTGACCTAGAATCTAATGCCTCGAGCAGGCTGAAAAAATGTGGCTATTATTGCATTACTTGTAAATATTCTGTCATTGCCTAGCCAATTAGCATAATCCTTGACCTAGTTTTATTGACCATGTCCTTGACCTACTTTAAAACTTTCCCTTTCAGACCCTGAGAATCCAGTAGCCCACCAGGAGTTTGTCCGGCACAGATTCGGCCGCAATGTTGAGCTGGTAGCTGATCTCAACAGGGACAAGGTGGAACCTTGGAGGAAAAAATATTTTGACATGTGCCAAAACTCTACTAATATCACCTGGCTTCAAGAACAGAGGGTCAGTTAGGTCAATTTAAAAAATATTTTGACATGTGCCACAACTCTACTAATAACACCTGGCTTCATGAACAGAGGGTCAGTTAGGTCAATTTAAAAAATATTTTGACATGTGCCACAACTCTACTAATAACACCTGGCTTCATGAACAGAGGGTCAGTTAGGTGGATTATGTCTATTGTGCAAGCTTTTGATGTATCCCACAATGCATCTATTATATTAACCATTGATTCTACACGTATATTTTTTTTTATTTAACCTTTCGTTTTTTCCATTTTTGATGTTCGAAATTATGTACATAATTTGATGTTGATTTAAAGTAAAGTTTCGCTTTTAAACCTGAACGTCTATGGGTCAAGTGAAGTAGAGTTCACTTGTTTCTGTGACCTCTCAGCACTATGGTGAGCAGCCTTTACTTTCCCTAACCTGAGCTAGGTACCCAACAGAGTTGGGTGCACTCAGTGTGGACGGAGTGGCCTGTGACTGCTAACCCGAAGTCTTGATTTCGAATCCGAGTTCAAGTCAGTAGACCATTTCTGAGTACACTAATAAATTTTACTTAAATACAAAGGAATTGCGACTCATAAGTGAATAAATATTTTAAGTTGTAACATATAAATGTATTAGTTTAAGTATTAAACAAATTAATGTTTCTTGAAACAACATATTTGAATATTATTTATGCTAATTTGATTTATGTTTGTCAAATTCAATCATTTTACCTAAAACCAATTTAACAACTTTACAATTATTTTTATTGATAGTACATTATTTTTTGGTCAAATTTATTACATTTTTGAAATTTTGTTTAATAATTATGTCTTTAGTTTTAAAGTTGTGTCCCTTTTTAATCGCTATAAAGTTTGTTTCCCCTTTTCTGTACAGTTGACAAAATCACAAAAATCCAACCTCAAGTGCAGACTCAGAAGATCTTCCAGCTGTCCATTTCTGTTTTACAAGGAAGAAATTTTAAGCAACTCGCCTTTTATCTCTCTGATTTTAAACTTCGTTGCTGACCTGGAGATCAAGGAACTTAAGAACCTGACACTGGACCAGGTAGGTGTCATCTGTCACTGTTTAGGATGTGTGACGTGTGTCAATGTGTATGACATTAGACCAGGCAAGTGACATTTGTCAATGTATATGAAATTAGACAAGGTTGGTGACTTTTGTCACTGTATATGACATTAGACCAGATATGTGACATTTGTCTATGTGTATGACATACCAAGTAGGTAATATTTGTCTATGTGTATGTCATTAGACAAGGTAGGTGACATTTGTCAATGTATATGACATTAGACCAGATATGTGACATTTGTCAATGTATATGACATTAGACAAGGTAGGTGACATTTGTCAATGTATATGACATTACACCAGGTAGAACTTGTGTGTGATATTTTTGTTGTAGCTTTACAGTGAACTGTGACATATTTACTTGTCATAACCCATACCATTTCTTTTATAGCTTACCAGTGAAATTTGTCACATTTATTTACTTGTCATAATCCATTCTATTTCTCTAACTTGACAGTGAACTTTGACACATTTACTAGTCATAACCTGTACCATTTCTCTTATAGCTTACCAGTGAACCTCTACCAGGGAATGAAGTTGGTGTAATGTGGCATTTCAAAGGGTACGATCATTTTTTTTTATCTTGGTTAAATCATCAGAAGTTTTTATTTAAGTTTTAATCTAAGAGCTTACGGTTACTTTCGGTCTCATGCACTGAGTACAGAATAAGAAAATTACATTACACATACATTTTTTTTAGTTTTTTGGCTAATCTAGAGTAGCTTTGTAATTCTCTATACCATTTCTCTATACTTCATTTATTTTATTGTTTTCTTTCCATGTATGTTGTAGTTCAACTTTGTTATTTTTTGTACTTCCTTATAGTATTGAAGCTTGATTTGTTTTATTGATTTGTTTCCATGCATGTCACAGTTCAACTTTTAAGGATGTTACTGGGGATGTGATTGCTCAGATTTCTCAGAGAGTGGGGGATGTGGCGTCAATGAAAGTTTTCCAGAGTACAACCAATACCTACTCGCTTGGCGAACCACTTAATGTAAATATTTTATCATTTGCTAACTGTGAATTTTATACCTTTTACCTCCTGTGTATGGTGTGAATTTTATACCTTTTTACCTCCTACTTACTGTGTGAATTTTATACCTTTTTACCTCATGTTTACTGTGTGAATTTTCTACCTTTTACCTCCTGTTTACTGTATGAATTTATACCTGTTTACCTGTTGTTTACTGTGTGAATTTTATACCTGTTTACCTGCTGTTTACTGTGTGAATTTTATACCTTGTTACCTCATGTTTACTGTGTGAATTTTATACCTTTTACCTCATGTTTACTGTGTGAATTTTATACCTTTTTACTTCCTGTTTAGTGTGTGAATTTTATACCTTTTACCTCCTGTTTACTGTGTGAATTTTATACCTTTTACCTCCTGTTTAGTGTGTGAATTTTATACCTTTTACCTCCTGCATACTGTGTGAATTTTATACCTTTTTACCTCCTGTGTATGGTGTGAATTTTATACCTTTTTACCTCCTACTTACTGTGTGAATTTTATACCTTTTACCTCATGTTTACTGTGTGAATTTTATACCTTTTACCTCCTGTTTAGTGTGTGAATTTTATACCTTTTACCTCCTGCATACTGTGTGAATTTTATACCTTTTTACCTCCTGTGTATGGTGTGAATTTTATACTTTTTTACCTCATGTTTACTATGTGAAGCTTTGTTATACCTTTTTATATTCCCACTTTCTGTCTTAACTTCTTGATGTTACTTTGTTTTTCTAGTCACATTACATACATGTATGATGGTGTAGGTGTTTGACAGAGCACATTAAAGTTTTTAGAAATTGCGCACAAAATTAGATACCCTCTTCTCCCACACTCCTAAGATGGTTAAATGTCTTTGAAGAGGGTTTGGAAAGTATAAAGTATAAACACATTGACTTTGTACTGATCTCACAGCTCTGTCATCTAGCAAGACTACAGCATCAGATAAACTCTACTTCATCAGTGTTAAGAATGTTTTTGGCTTATACTTGCTTTTAAGTTGATTGAATGAAATTCAGTGGTCAAACAATTGTGTCTATTTCTTACAAATTTTGATAATTATGTTAAGTATCATTTCCAATTGCTAGGTTAGCATAAGGATAAATAATTTCAGAATGAATTTATGCATTTTTGCCTATTTAAGAAAAATGTTGCACTTACTAAATACAATTTTTTGTTCTGCTCCCTGTAAGTTCTATTTCAACTTTTTAGCCATATTGCCCTTATAAAAATAATTATTCTCATATGGGTTATTAAAATATTAATTACATTTCCAAATTTTTCCATTTCTGATCTTTGATCACCCATATTTTTTTTAAATCCATCTTTTTGTATTTGTTACATATATTTATCAAACAGATTTTTTTTTAAATTTATTATTTGATCAATAATTAAAATATACTTTTGAATAAGCTATAGACTATAGACATACATATTCATGTTTCTTTTTTCTTTGATAAACTGTAAAAACATGCTTGTGAATAAGATATACATTCCTCCATATTTATCAAATGTTTCTTTATTTTTCTTTGATAAACTGTAAAAACATACTTTGAATAAGATATAGGTCTACATATTTAACCAAATGATATTTTAAAATTCCAGGTGATTGACTATGGTATAGGAGGCTTGAACCTGCCTCATGCTGAACTAAATCAGGCAAGTTATCATTTAGTGATACTCTAGTTTCCTCCCTTTGATATATTCCACCAGTATCTGATATGCGCCAGGTTTTTTCTGCTCCTATTTATTAACTAATCAGAGAAACCTGCCAGGATGGAGGAGTGGAACCTACTGAGTAATTAAAAAAAAACAACAATAACTTTTAAAAGCTGAAGCATTCAGTTTATTCTGATTCACACAAAAATATGAAAATAAAAAAATTTAAAACTTTCATTCAAATCAATCAATCCTTTGGCCAACTGAGGCTAATTAACATATTTAATTATAGTTGGGTTAAAGACTTCATGTTTACTTGAGACTTTTTATATTTTTTTATCTGCTCATTACCCATGTCCTTAACTAGAATAAAAAAATGTGTGAATCAAGGATTAGCTTAGGTTTAGTGCTGGAATGATTTTACATCAACTCAGTTACAAAGAGCTAACATTTAAGTCAGACAATGGTATTTTTAAAATTAATGCAAAAAACAATTCTTTAGACCAGAGGTCGGCAACCTTTTGAATCGAAAGAGCCAAAAGTTACAATTTTCAAAATTTCCTTGGTTTTAAAGAGCCACTAACATTTTTTTATTACAAATATTTTATTTTTTTATTAAGATTATTAGTATTTGTGCAAGGAGCTGGAGAGCCGCATCTTGATATCAAAAGAGCCGCAGGTTGCCGACCCCTGCTTTAGACCAATGTTCTTATTATTTTTAAAACAGTGTTACATCCTATCTAAAGGCCTGCTATATGTACAAAAAACTGATTCTTTGAAAATAATTTGAGGTTTTGACATAAGGGGTCATCCATAAATGACGTCACACTCGTAGGGGGGAGGGGGGGGTCCGTAATTTTGTGACGATATGTGATGAGGGAGGGGGGGGGGGGGTTCAGATGTTGCGACGTCACATTTTTGCATTATAAAAAAGCAATGTTAGAAAACGAATTTTAGACGTTATTTCGCGTTTTAGATAACTGTTTTAATAAATTGTAATAGTTTAGACAAGATTTTCAAAAAATATCGATGTTTAAAAAAAAACTGCAATTTTGAGGGGGGTTGTAGGTTGAGGTGTGACGTCATTTTAGGGGGGGGGGTCTGGCTTTTTGTGACGACGTGTGACGGAGGGGAGGGGGGAGGTAAAAATCGTCAAAAAAAGCGTGACGTCATTTATGGATGACCCCTAAATGCTTATAAATGGTGTTAAATGGTGCTTGCTACAACTTTACTAATCTCTAGATATACTATAAATAGTAATTCTTGCTTGTTTGGCTGACTTTAAAAATTATTTCTTCTCTCAAGTCAATAAAAACAGCTGCCTTATTATTAGTTTACTTTAATTTCATGCTTAACATGATATTTACTAATTAGAGACATCGAGTACTCATCAATTAATTATCTGAATAAAAAAAACTTTAATTCCTAGGCTTTCCTGTCACACTATTAACTAACACTAATAAAAAATGTTTACGGAAAAATTGAAACAAAAAAAAACGGATCAGTATTTTTTGGTGTTACTTTATCAAAGTGCTTTTTTGCATCCTAGACTGACTGTGGGTTGATCTCAGTCAGAGCCTAGAAATAGAAGAAAGAGTTTCTGAATTTGATGTATCTTAAGTATTTCAAGTTGCTGTACACATATAGTAATGTAGCATGGTTTTCCAATTAACAATGCAATCAATTTAAATTAAATAAGTGGGCTAGGCTTATTTGGCTAATGAATATATTTTAATTAATTATCACTCCTGACCATAAGCCACCACATAAATAGCCACCCATCACACCCATCCCAAACATACTAATAAACTATCCAAATTATTCCCTCCCCCCCCCCCCCCCCCCAAATTGTTGAGGCCAGGGATGCTTCTATCCCCACCTCATCCCGCATCCCCACACCGACTTTAAAAAACATGCCCTCCACACATTTTAAATTCCAACCCACCTTATCTTTCAAACACACACGACCATCACACATTCCAACCCAGCATACACACACATCCTAATACCCACACACCCACACAAACACAGACAAATTACCACCATCATCCCCAACTTGACGAGGCACCAGCGACTTCTTTCCCTCAAAACTTTTGTCTGACTCTAGGGTAAGGACTGGCCTGCCCTGGTGCCTTTTCTCCACCCCACCCCCGGGGGTCTTCTCCGTCTCTGGCTTCACACCCAGACCTCTCAGTGCCTGGTGCATTTTGTTATTCAAATATAGCATTAGTAAAAAGGTTTCCTTGGAGATACAGCTATTGAAGTAATATTTTCCGGATGGCTAAAAGAAATAGTCATTATGTGTACATTACATATGTACATATATATATATATATATATATATATATATATATATATATATATATATATATATATATATATATATATATATATATATATATATATATATATATATATATATATATATATATATATATATATATATATGTACATGTATACAAGGATATACTTATTTTGCTTTTTTGTTCATTCCTTTTTACTTATTGCTGACTATGATTTATGACTTATTTCAAACCAATTAGAAATAAACCAATTAGACATAAACCAATTAGAAATAAACCAATTAGAAATTAAACCAATTAGAAATAAACAAGAGATTAATTTAATTATATTAGGATTATACGTTTTAAGCTATTACCATAGCTGTAGTTTTAGTGTTGAGCAACAAGGGAAATAATCACACTATCAAAGGGTTTTAATTACTCACAAACCAAGGGAGGTAAAACTGATAACAAATGAAAGTTTACCATTAACTCTTTGGTGAAAAGTGTTTTGCCCATGTGGTCAGCCATAGTCAACAATCTGTGACAAGAAGACTAGAAAGAAACAACAGCGTGTTAGATTGTTCCATAAACTGTCCTGCTTTGATTTCTCCTGTTTACAACTACAATCAAAATGATAATAAAACCTGCATTTCAAAATTGTGTTTCAATTTTTCTACACACGTCATACATTCATGCGAAAGATATAACACACAAAGCTACTAAAACATTGTTAATTATTGAGCGAAATAAAAAAAATCCTCCCCGGCGGGGAATCGAACCCCGGTCTCCCGCGTGACAGGCGGGGATACTTACCACTATACTACCGAGGACTTACTATGTTGGCAGATACGTGCCTACAATTTAATGTTAAGAAGTAGTAGATAAGGCGTTATGTATTACGGATTGTTCTCTTTTTTTTTTTTAAATTAACCTCAGAGTTGAAGTCGAGAAAGTTCGAAGGGCTGAAAATACGATAACAATAGATAGATCTAGTACTATTAGCAAAATAAGGATAAGAAACAGCTTTTAATAGCCTGTTGAATCCGAAAGGCTTCAAGATTAAGACAATAACTTGACTCAGTCGTAACCGAAATATCTAACTCAGAAGTATTTTAGGCAGAGGCGTCGCGAAGGGGGGTGGTGGTGGTTGCGGACCGCACCGGGTGACACCATTTAGGGGGGTGACACCAAGGCAAAAGTAGCAAAATATTTAGAGAAAAACAATGGTCGTTCAAGTTAAATGAATAATTAATTAGAGTTGAATAGTCTTCTAAAAACCAAATTCGCAAATCCCAACTAGTGGGTGGGTGGGTTGGGGGGGAGGGGGGGGGGAGGGTCGACACTATGACGTAAATCTGCTAAAGATAGAGAAAACACTGCCACATCCAGCCGTATTAATAACCTACTATAGATAAACACCGTTAGTATTATCTGTGCACACTTTAAAGATATCACGGGGGGGGGGGGGGGGTTGACACCAACTGAACGTTGTAACATTAACCTTAGGAAAAAGCTTTTGTTCAGAATTGTAATAACTGATATGTCAATCGACTACTGGGATGGAACTGACTCTAAATTTAATAATTTTCTACAAAAGCAATTATTTTTTCACTTAAATAAATAACTGTTAAAATTAGGCCCATCGATGTTTTTTCTAGGTAGATTAGTATAAGTTGACGTCACTCGACAAAAAGGTGGGGGGTGACACCAAATACATGGGCAAAGAGCTTCTAGCGGATACACTCGTTGTAAAAAAGTATTTGGTCGCTATGTTACTCATTATCCTATACTTAAAAAAAGAAGACGAAGTTCATTTTAATACATAAAAATATATGTGTATACTTATATACACATTTGTATACACATACACAATTGTATCTGACATTTATATGTATATATATATATATATATATATATATATATATATATATATATATATATATATACATATATATATATATATACATATATATATATATATATATATACATATATATATATATATATATATATATATATATATATATATATATATATATATATATATATATATATATATATATATATATATATATATATATATATATATATATATATATATTAGTTGCCGCACTGGGTGACACCCGACCTAGCGACGCCACTGATTCTAGGCCATAAATCTATGGGACCTAGAATACTAGAATGTCCTAGATCTAGATCTACTAGACTACCACAGGCCTACTTATCGTACTAGATTAGATCTGTGACCTATAGCCTGGTGTAATCTGTAGCACTGACGTAATCTATGTTAAACTAGTCAATTTATCATTTCATTGTTTTAAAAAAAATTATTTGTTATTAAATCAATAATGTAACATTTAACTTACTATTTAACCCACTTTGTTGTCTAAAAATGATGTCTGAGATGCAGATCTAGATATCTAGTTGAACAGGTCGATTTTGTGCGTTCATTTTATTTTAATCGCATTTTGGTGCGCATTCAAAGTCTTGTAAGTCGTAGATTGTATTGTATTAGCCAATCGATCTGGAAAAACTAAATAAATGTCACAACTTATATGAACAAAATAAAAATCCTACTTTATCATAACAACCCCATCCCCTGCCCCCCCCCCCCCCCACACACACACGGCCTATCCCTTGAGGAGCAGCTTGAGGCGTCGCGAGGGGGGGAGCGGACCCCACCGGTTGATACCCGACCTGGTGACGCCACTGGTAGCCTACAAATAGACAGGTCTATAGCAAACACTGGCTGAAATTAAAGACATAATAAGACATAATTTCCTGGTTTAGGTAGGCCCCCATACAGTGAAACCCGCTATGGAAATTCTGACCAAATTATTAATGCATATTTTATATAACCTTTGACCTTCCACCACATGATTAAGTAACGATACCTCTAAGTTTAAAAATGTCATAGCAAACCGCGGGCCGCATCTTAACTAAGGGCGGTAGTTAGCCGAACACTCTTTTAACGTAGCTACCAAGGCAGGACGCTTTTACTTTTCTCTTTTTAAACTCAATTTTCTTAATAACCACATGAACGATATTTCTAGATGAGAAGATTCTCAATTCTTATCTTCTTGTGCATAGGTGGATATGTTTTTCTTTTATAAGTTTGTTTTGTTTCGCATATTTCAGTAACTCAAAAATAAAAACAAAACTACTGCCTTGTAGTTTGTTCTTGGTTGGGCAAAGGCTAGGGAAGCCAATCCAAAAAGAAAAGCAGGCTGAAATCGGAGTGAATGGTCTCAATTGCGCACAATCAGTTGACACGTATACTTAACTGTGTTGGAGGGGATCCCTTCCATCACTAAAATTAAGAACGAAGAAGAAAAAGAAAGTAGATATGTTTTCATTGTCCGCAGCATAAGATTTGTTTACATGTTCTGTTCAACATTTCAATTTACGATCCATTTTTTTATTTTTACAGAAGTATAACGTCAGGTACATGAGATTTGTTTACATGTTCTGTTCAACATTGGTTTCAATTTACGATCCATTTTTTTTTACAGAAGTATAACGTCAGGTACATGAGCTTTGTTTACATGTTCTGTTCAACATTGGTTTCAATTTACGATCTATGTTTTTTTTTTTTACAGAAGTATAACGTCAGGTACATGAGCTTTGTTTACATGTTCTGTTCAACATTGGTTTCAATTTACGATCCATGTTTTTTTTTACAGAAGTATAACGTCAGGTACATGAGATTTGTTTACATGTTCTGTTCAACATTGGTTTCAATTTACGATCCATTTTTTTTTACAGAAGTATAACGTCAGGTACATGAGATTTGTTTACATGTTCTGTTCAACATTGGTTTCAATTTACGATCAATTCTTTTTTTACAGAAGTATAACGTCAGGTATATGAGATTTGTTTACATGTTCTGTTCAACATTGGTTTCAATTTACGATCAATTCTTTTTTTACAGAAGTATAACGTCAGGTACATGAGATTTGTTTACATGTTCTGTTCAACATTGGTTTCAATTTACGATCCATTTTTTTTTACAGAAGTATAACGTCAGGTACATGAGCTTTGTTTACATGTTCTGTTCAACATTGGTTTCAATTTACGATCAATTCTTTTTTTACAGAAGTATAACGTCAGGTATATGAGATTTGTTTACATGTTCTGTTCAACATTGGTTTCAATTTACGATCAATTCTTTTTTTACAGAAGTATAACGTCAGGTACATGAGATTTGTTTACATGTTCTGTTCAACATTGGTTTCAATTTACGATCCATTTATTTTTACAGAAGTATAACGTCAGGTACATGAGATTTGTTTACATGTTCTGTTCAACATTGGTTTCAATTTACGATCAATTCTTTTTTTACAGAAGTATAACGTCAGGTATATGAGATTTGTTTACATGTTCTGTTCAACATTTCAATTAACGATCCATTTTTTTATTTTTACAGAAGTATAACGTCAGGTACATGAGCATCATCAACGGTGCACGCGCAGCCACTGTTCAGGTGTTTGTGAGTACACGAATATCAACTTTTTAACTGTAGTATATCAACTTTAGTATATCAACTTTAGTATATCAACTTTAGTATATCAACTTTAGTATATCAACTTTAGTATATCAACTTCTTTTTAACTTTAGCTTATCAACTTTTGATCATCAACTTTTAACTTTAGCTTATCAACTTTTGACCATCAACTTTAGTCTATCAACTTTAGCCTATCAACTTTAGCCTATCATCTTTTGTCTATCAACTTTATCTTATCAACTTTAATATATCAACTTTGGCCTATCAATTTTGGTCTATCAATTTCAGTATATCAACTTTAACCTATCAATTTTTGTCTAACATCTTTAGTATATCAACTAAAATATATCAACTTTAGTATATCAACTTTCGTCAATCAACTTTAATCTATCAACTTTAATCTATCAACTTTAGTCTATCCACTTTAGTCTATCAACTTTCAACCAGAAATGATCATTGCTTTCATTGTGTTTATTCTTCTATAGGCCACAGAACTAATCAATATTTCCATTTAAAAACATGTGTAAATAAAATTGTGCCAACTGTTTGCCAGGTCAACCAAAGCGCTGAGTTGACTCATTTGATATAAAGTATATATATATATATATATATATATATATATATATATATATATATATATATATATATATATATATATATATATATATATATATATATATATATATATATATATATATATTTGTATACACACACACACACAAAACAAACATAAAATCAATTATTACTGGCCTTAAAAATGTGCAACTGTTCTACCACCAGTTGAGTGACACAGTCCTGGGTGGTGCCACAGTATTTATCCACCAAAACATAACAATCGTACCTCAAAAGGTGAGAAATAATTGTGGGGTCAAAGGGTGAGAATATTTGTGAGGTCAAAAAGTGAGAATATTTGTGGGATTAAAAGTTGAGAATATTTATGGGGTCAAAAGTTAAGAATATTTGTGGGGTCAAAAGATGAGAAATATTTGTGGGGTTAAAAAGTGGGAAATTTTCGTGGAGTTAAAAAGTAAGAAATATTTGTGAGGTTAATTTAACTCATATTTTTTTGGTTCTGGAGTAAAAAAAAATTGCTAATTTTAGTTTAATTACATACTGTTTTACATTCTTGATTTTTCTGAGTTTTTAAAGACTACCCAATGTATAAGAATTAATTTTTGTTATATATTTTTTCTTGTAAATTATAAAATAAAACTAAAAACTATGAGCACCAACATGCATAGCTGTGACGTTACTCTTTGACACCTGGCAGGGCCTGGCAGTGTTCTGGCACAATTACCAGCCAAACGGCCTACCTGAGCCATACCTGTTACCTGCTACCTGTCCTTTAGCTGTGGGAGAGAACATTGGTAAGTGGTTTCATTCAGACAACTCTGGTGTTACACTAGACAACTCCGGCTAAAATTAGACAGCTGATGTTTAAAGCGAGACAACTCTGTTTTAAAGTGGCCTAATTTATTAAAGGTAGACAACTATTCAAGTTGAGTAATCACTTTTAAAAGTTAGAAAATGAAGTTTAGTTCAATTCTGCCATATATACACATTTAAATTGTCATTGCAAAAATTTCAATGTTAGCTTTATAGGAGTGTTACCTTTACGATAGAATAATTAATTAAACACTTAATCAACTAGTTAATTCAAAACCCAAGAGTTTAATAAATTTAAGATCTATAATATAGCTTTTTAGTTTTAATTGTATTGTACTCTACAGTACGTGTTTACTTTTGATATTTATTTTTTTTAATTTACGAAAATAATAAAGCAAATAACTTCGCAAATATGCAAATAGTCCCGATTTAATAATAAATTTCAGTGATTGAGAAAGGGATGTGGCGTCTAGGTCTTGACGAACAATTCAAGTGTGGGAGAAAGCGAAAGTCATCACACACCACATTGGAAGTTGGATGGAGGATGCCTTCCTAGATTTTATGTCTGGTTTTAAAAGTCGTTTTATTTTAAGTGTGGAGTTTACATGCTTTATATTCAATGATTAGATTGTGTTTTTAATTATCCTAATATTAGCCTAATTTTAATACTTTAAACTGCTGCTAATCGGAAAATACGTCAGAAACTTGGATTGGAATTTTTTTTTTCACTTTTTAAAACTTTATAATGGATTTTAAAAAATGAAACTTTTTTTTTAATTATTAAAATATAAGGATACATAACATGTATTGGAGTAATAGAAAAAAAAACATTTGAATGGATGGTTGCAATCGGCAGTATGGCAGTGAAAGGAATACAATAGGAATAACATTTAGTAGCACAAAAGATAGAAGAGAGAAGAAAAATTACTAACAATCTTAACGGAGTTTGTGTTATTGAATGTTCGTAATTCTGTGAAACTTATGTGCAATCGTTTGAATTGAGAAAATGATTTATTTATGTATGGTGTCTCTCAATGTATACAAAAATGTTTTACATTATTGTCTGTTTTGTTTTTTCTGTATTAAAATCTGACATTCAAACCTAGTTGCTTTTATTATGTTATGATTTTTGTTTCTAAATAGTTTGCGCATCAGGGGGAGTAACTAGGTTGTTTTAGAGTAAATATGTATTATACCTGTTTGTTCCCCTTGAATTGTAAATCAGTTGTTCATACGACCATTCTATACATAGTTTCTCTCAAAGCTAATCAATACAAAAACATGTTTAAAAGTGATCAACACAACAAAAACGTCAAAGCATCAGAAACTACAAAAAAGACACTAACAAATGACAATAAAACACTACACTTTATCTATTATCTTGCCTCCTCCAAACCAAGCGTTCCCCTCCCGTCCAACCTACCCCGATGTCGCCACCTATCTAACCCACACCCGACAATGCTTCAGCTAGACCAGGGGTCTCCAAACTCTTCAGTCCGAGGGCCGCTTTAACTATCAAATTTCAGTTCGGGGGCCAGTTTCTTCCAGGCATGTCTTTTATTTTACTGGGCAAAGTTCCTCAGCCATCACCAATAAACGATTTTTCCTTGGACAAAAAGATCTCCGCGGGCCGGATGAGAGGGCTTCGCGGGCCGCATCCGGCCCGCGGGCCGTAGTTTGGATACCCTTGAGCTAGACAATACTCTCAATGCCCCAACTATCTGTATTTTCACCAAGCCGTCAGAAGGTCTCATTTTAAAATATGCACAACGTAATAATATAAAACATGACAAAAACACAACATCGAATACATAATTATCAAAACAAAATACATCAGCACTACAAAAATAAACCCTACATTAAAACCCAATAAAGTAAAATGGTACATGATACGATGTACAATACAACGTACTACTTTTTTTCTCGCCAGCGGTCTTAAATAGAATGTATTATAATTGTAAAGTGTATAAGTATAATGTTGGCTTCTTCTACATTATATATCTATAATATAACGCTGCTGGTATTGTGTCAGTACGTCAGTCATCGCTATAGATTTTAGAACCATAATAGTAAACATACCAATTGTATTATTATATTCAGTCTGATTTCATTGTTACAGATAACTTTAGCTTAGACCTTCCTCTCCAAATCTATATACTACTAAAAGTCAAGTTTGTTTACATGTTTGAATATTTATTTGTTTTTTTTTGTTTTTTTTTTTTGTTTTGTTTTTTTTGTTTGGCTGATTTACTATTGCGCATGGTTGCACTCACCGTGGAGAGCTGTAAAATAGTATGTAGGTAGAGAATTTTTTTTGTTTTAAGACAGACTGTTAATTACACATTTATTTAAAGACGTTAATTAATTTATTGATTTATTCATACGTAGAGTAACCCTATTTTTTTAAAAAGTTTAAAACGACCACTACACTCGGCGGGACCGTGACGTCACAGTTTTTTGTTTACTCTTTAGTACAATAAAATGGCGGCGTCTATCGAAGAAAATTGTGTTCCCATTCAAAAGTTTACGCGTTCTAAATTTAATTTTCTGTCGGTCATAACTTTAACAATACGTCCGTTTGCTGTATTTATTACGTTCCAACACTTATATCAATTTTCAACTGTCTTTTTTCATTTAGTTTTACAATAAATTTCTCTAGATCTAAAGATCAGCTGTCGAAGGAAAGTTATGAATCTAGCCTAGATCTAGCCTAGATCTAGGTCACTAGACTCAATGTAAATTCTAGATCTAGATCTAGACTTAATGTAAATTCTACATCTAGAATCTATTTCAGGCCTTAATACATCTAGAATCTATTTCAGGCCTTAATTATTTTATATAAATCTTTGTTTGGCTAATTTAAGATAAAATTTAATTTGAAAGTTACTACTACTAGACTTAGATCTAGATCTATCCGCGTAAATCAAGTTGCATAAGGAGACTCAAAGTATAGTATAAAAATTCATTTGTGACGTCACGAGAAAAAAGCTAAGTTGGTAGCGTAGTCGGCTCTCATGCGGGTGGCACAGGTTCTAGACCAATATGTCAATGATATTATTTTTTCAATTTTTTTTTTAGATGTGAATGATAAAGTTGCCTATCTGAACTTGGCAGGATACAGGGCAGGTGAAGTAGAGTTCATCTGTTTCTTTGTCTTAAGCATATGAAAGGATAGTGTGGTCAGAGACATGCTCGGCTGGAATCGTTTTTTAAACGATAAAAACATGTTGTCTGAGACTTGGCGGGAAACTGGGCAGGTGAAGTAGAGTTGAGTAGGTCACATGTGACGTCAGTATATGAAGGGATAGTCCGAAATCGGTGTTTTCGGTGTTTTTAAAAGATAAAAAACATATTTATCAATGTGGGGTCTGTTTTTTGTGACGATAAGTGACACTGCAGTAGCGTAGCGAGGAGGGGGGGGGCGGGAGGGGGAGGGGAGGCGGGGGGGGGGGGGAAGGGGAGGTGGGGGGAGGTGAAGGGGGGGCGGGGGGGACATATGTTGGGGCGCCAAAATGGTTTGGAAAAATAAATTGAAAGGTTGAGGGGGTGCAAATCGAAAGTTTGAGTGGGGGGGGGGGGGTGCACATCAAAAGTTTGAGGGGGGGGGTTGCAAATCGAAATCTTGCGGGGGGGGGGGTCAAATCGCTAAGTTTGTCCCCGGGCGCCGGGAAGGGTCGCTATGCCTCTGAGTGACAGACGTGATGTTTTTTGATGGATGACCCCCGAAACCCACAGTTATCCAACGGATGACGGGTATTCTAGTTAAACATAAATTTTCGTTTCAATGGGGAATAAAAGATTCGCGTACATTTAGAGTGTTATAAGATTTGTTTTAAGATTTGGCGCTTCCATTTAAGACATCACTGTTCTCTGTGGAAGTTTGAGCATGGTATCTAGAATCTAGTTCAGTTGAGCCCTACAGATTTAAAACATGTGATAACGTTATGTCATAAGACAATCACTCACAAGCAACACACAGATTGTACATGTGTGTAACTTTATAAGAAGAAGCTTCCTCACGTTAATATTAAAATGTTGTGGCCTTTATTACTATGTATAAACACGCTGCTTTTTTTTAAATAAAAAAAAAATTAAACACCAACGAATTTATAATTTTAATCAGAGCAAGTCATTTTCACACAATAAGTAATGGGGGGGGGGGGGGCTCTTTTGTTGGAACCCCTTAGTGGTGGCACTCATTGACATTTTTATTGTGACGATTTTTAGGTACGTTTTTTGATGGTGTTAAATGTTATTGGGATAATTTTGACAAAGAGTTTTGATAGTGACAATTTCAAACAGTTTTTGATGGTGATCAATTTAACTGGCACACTTTTAATGGTGACCCTTTTTTTGTGACCCTGACCCAGTTATTTGACTCAGTTGCCAGCAACGATGGTCACGAGTCAAGATTGTCTTGATGTGCTGTGTGTGTGTGTGACAGGTGTGCTGCAAGTTTTCAACGATGTGTCAACAACTGACCTAATTCAGACCGAACACATCTGTATACTGTCACCTGCACAAAAAAACGTAGGGAGGGATAATTAATTATCAAATTGCAATTAAAAATACTTTTTTAACTTTATATTTTCAAACAGTAACGACAAAACGTGTATTAATATGTACTTCAGTTTTGTGTATTGCAAAATTTTATTGATATATATACACATTTATATTTATATATATATATATATATATATATATATATATATATATATATATATATATATATATATATATATATATATATATATATATATATACATATATATATGTATGCATGTATAGATACATATTTTAAAGTTATTAAATATTATGGATATGCGTGGTTAAACATGTAAGATGACACTTATTGAATCTAATAAGAAAAACTTAAAATTCTTTTTAGACCCGGAAATTTAAAATAGATTTCCAAAATTAAAACTTACACTATTGAGGTCACCATAAAAATTATCCAAGGAATCCTCCACACAGCCTTTACCTATATACAAGGGTTTAGGTCTAGATGACAGCTCGTAGCTCTCTGTAAATACAAAACTTGTGTTGAATCATTCATGTTTTGTTTAGATGTATCGATCATTTTTAAAGCAGGGCTACTTAATCGAACAAAATAATTAATAGAGGGCACTTTTTTTTGCCAGACATCTTTATAATGTGGGGGTGGGTATGAATATATATATATATATATATATATATATATATATATATATATATATATATATATATATATATATATGTATACTTTAACCACCCCCCCCCCAAAGTTTCAATAAACCCCTCCGAGAAATTTCAAGTGCCTCCACCCATCAATATAGGGGGGGCGGGGAGGGGGGGGGGGGGGGGAATTGCCTGAAAGATAGCGTGTGCAAGAGTAAAAGTGAATTATAAAAATAATGGATCGATAATAGCATCAGGGAATGGGGTTGTAGTATCTGAAAATAAGAGATCTATTTTTACTTTCTCGTATATACGAAGTATAGAGAAAGTATTGTAATCGTGCACAAAAATCACTTGAAATTTTAACAATTTTCACCGTATTACACCTCAGTCCTTCTTCACATCCGAAGTATAGAGGACTTATTTTAATCGGGCAAAAATTATCAATCCAGATTTATCAAAATTAAGAGATTTTATGCGTAATCCAGTCTGAAAAACTGGGCTTTGCAATCTTGTCCGTATGTCTGTGTGTGTGTGTGTCTGTGTGTCTGTGTGTCCGTGTGTAAACACGATAACTTGAGTACCGTTACAGCTAGGTTGATGAAATTTCATATATAAGTATTATATCAAAATCGTAGATCCGTATCAACTTTTGAGCGATTTCCGATAACCGGAAGTGGTACTTTTTCTACTTTGAATTTTTCAAAAGCCTATAACTTGAGTACTATTTCAGATAGATAAATGAAATTTCACAAGTGAGTAAAAGATCTAATTTTCTAACTTCTATTAAATTTTGAGTAATTTCCGTTGACCGGAAGTAATAATTTACGCTACTTCCGATTTCTCAAAAAACTAATGTAAATTTATAAAGTACTAATAATATTGCGCACTAGTATGCACTTTTTTATTTGGCGTTCACTTGGTGTGCAATTAATTTGTCTACGAGATTTTATTCTATTTTTAAACTTTAAGTATTTAAAATGGATTAAAAATCATGTCTATAGCCCGAGTTCCCATCCCCTGTTGTTTTATATAAGAATATTCGAGAAAGTTTAGGGGAGATCACTCCCGGTTTATTACAAATGCAAGCATCTTATTGTAACGTGCAGAATAGAAATGACACATAAATTAAATATGTTGTTGTTAAAAATAAAGGGTCATTGAAAGTAAACTGGTAAAGTTCCATACTAGAGTAGACTAGAGGCCTGCAACCATGGGTTCATAAACTGTAACAAAAAGCTGCAACGGTATGAAAAGTATGAACTCTGACCTTTGGATGGCACGTGAGTCCCGCTCACGTGGTTGTTGACTCGACCAATCAGCTTCTGACCGTCACATTGCATTTCTATGGTTTTCTGGACGCCAGGCTTCAGGAAGGCAGACGTGAAAAAATTAAACAACTAATTGGTAATTAAACTCATTATGTCTTGTGCTTTCAATTAAACCAACTTTATGGGACGGGTCAGAAGAATACATATTTCAAATTTTGTATTGTTTACATTACTTAAGACTATACCACCACCAGTTAATGTGTAGTCACTTAATGTTTTTATTTTAATTTTTTAATATATAAATTTTAGCAGATTTTAGCATTTTTTACAGGTCTAAAGACTTGTATGTAAATGTTTTTTTTTAATTGATTGATATATTTAAATGATTAAAGAAGTTGGTTTATATTTTAGAAAAGAAATCGCAATTTTCAAATTAAAAGCAGGAGATTTAGGCGGAAATGCTCGTCATTTTACAACGAATAAGATAAAGGGAAAGCAAATTAAAAAAAAGTAAAAAAATGTTTACGTCATTTATGGCTCATTCCCTTATGGACATGAAGATGCATTCCTTATTATTAATGTTGTTGTTATTGTTGTTATTATTGTTGCTGTTATTGTTGTTGCTGCTGTCATTGTTGTTGTTATTGCTGCTGCTGTTGTTGTTGTTATTGTTGCTGTTATGGTTGTTTCTGGTATTTTTATTGTTATTGTTGTTGTTGCTGTTATTGTTGTTGTTGCTGTTATTGTTGTTGTTGCTGTTATTATTACCGTGTATGGAATTCTGACTTCTAACTTTTCTTGGAACGGGTACGGTGACGTCATGGTCATGACGACCACGCTGAACTTGACCACGTGTGACCTGGGATCGAGGCTGATGCTGAAGGACGGCGTGACGTCACTTCCGCAATTGCTGACCAGCCCCTGCGGCGTCAGGTAGTCGACGTTCTCCTTGATGGTCACTGACACGGTCAAACCTGGGGGGGGGGGGGAGAGATGCGAGCACAAGTCTAAAAATAGATCTAAGTTACTCACCGGAAACTAAGTAGGAGATTATTAGGACACGTTCTTTAATTAGATACCATTTGGTGCTTTACCCACCGAGCTTGCTCGCCTCTGCTTTAGTGGTCCTATTTTAAAAGTTTCTAACAAAACCTAAACTCTCAAAGGACATATATTTTTTTCGATACGAACAATTTTTTAATTTCCACCTCCCCTTCCCCCCTCCCCCCCCCCCCCCCCCCACACACACACAAGCCATTTTGCAACACATCACACATAGCTAGAACACTCCAAAAAAATAGCATACGTTACCCCCAAACAAACACACACACACACACACCCAAGGGGTGGACCAAGCTATATCCAACCCTTAAACTTGAAAACATTTGCTCTCTAACAAAAGAAGTTTATTAACTTTATGGGTAAAGTTATTTTAAACTATTATATTGAGTAACCACCGCTTTAGTACTATTGACATATTAGGTAAAATTTGTCAATGACAGCGATATGTATATACCGAGTACAAGTCACATAAACGACTTTTTTTTAATGCAAGATACATTTGTAAAGGTGTGCCCTACAAATCGATGACGTAAGCATTTTTTTAAGGCAGATGTCAAGGTTTAGACGTGTTGGGTCGCATAATTAATACACTGACGTCATATTTATGGGCGGAACCTCAACGCCAAGCTGATTTTTTTTGGTCGTTAAAAATTGCAACTGTGCTGTTTAGGTCTAATAGAATGAAAACAAAATATTTTAACAGGGAAACAAAAATGTTCAACAGGAAATAAAATATTTAAACAGAAAAACAAAATATTTTAACAACAAAAAAATATTTAAACACAAACAGAAAGCTATAAAGACAAACGTACGCAATGCATTTAAAAACTTAAGCATGGATTGCTATATTTTAATTGTGTCGTATAAACTCTCGAGACTTCTCGATTTAGCAACCATGAGCTTTACCGACTCGAACACGCCGACCCCTTTAGTAGAACTCAAAAACCAAGTAATTTAAAAACCAATCTTTTACGTTTTATATAGATGTTAGTTGTCAGTCGTGATCAATTAAAATTGTGTGCACAAATTGTCGCATAAAGATGGGTAACCTTTGGTAACAACGGGTGAAAGGGGTGTTCGGTGGCTAGCATACCGTCAATATTCCTTGTTGAAATTAGCAATATAAACATAAATTTTCTACTTGTTGAAATTAACACTAACCCTACCCCTAACACTAGCCATACCCCTAACACTAACCCTACTTCTGGACTAACACTCGAAACCTATAAAGTATTGCCACTCAAACCCCAAATTCCATATTTTAGGAGAGTCCATTGTAAAGAAATTTAGAAAAAAAAAATCATATAGTTTACCGCAGTAATTTAACCCCTCTCCCCTGGAGGTATAAAGACAATGACATAAGACGCATCAGCAGTCAAAAATAAAATGTTCTACTTCATTAGCTTGCTGTTCTCGAACAGTCCCTTAAGTCAGTTCTTGAACCAACCATGAAACAGTTCATTTCGAGGAGAATCAAATCTCACTCACCTGAAGTAAACCGGCTACTCTCGTACAAGGGAATCCACATGAAACCCCTGCCGTCGAAGTAGACGCTCCCATTGTTTGGTGTCACCCCTCTCGCGCCGACATAGAGTGACCCAAAGGCCCCCTCCCCTGTCACACTCCCAGCAGACGTCATGCCGGTGATGTTGACCTCTGCGCCACAATCTATCAAAGTGTCACCGTTTTACATAATGCGCACATCAATTAAAATAGAGTTTTAAAAGGGCTTGAATTTGCAGGTTTTTTTTAAAACTAAATCATCAATTACAATATATATATATTTAAAAGGCTTGGATTAAGGTCTTAAAAATGTAAGGCCTACTTCAATTAAAATATAATTTTAAAATAGTTTTTATAAGAGGTTTCGTTTTAAATTTACATCAGTTATTTTTTTCTACTTGTACATGTACATATACTTCTACGTCTACGTCTACGTCTACGTCTACGTCTACGTCTACGTCTACGTCTACGTCTACGTCTACGTCTACGTCTACGTCTACGTCTACGTCTACGTCTACGTCTACGTCTACATCTACATCTACATCTACATCTACACTTACATCTACATCTACGTCTAAATCTCTATCGATATATATATATATATATATATATATATATATATATATATATATATATATATATATATATATATATATATATATATAAAAACACTAACGCATAAATACAACGTGCGTGCATGTGCGTGTGAGTACAATTAAAGTACTCACTGATTGCAGGCTGAGTTTGTTGTGTTTGAGTTGAATTCTGTGCCGTTAGATTGAAGCTGTCGTACGGTCTGATGGTGTTGGCGTCAGGACCACCGGACCAGCTGCTTGCGTTACCTGGGTCAGCAAGACGCGGATCCTGGTGCCAGGCAGGTGGCACTGGAGGTGGTGTTACGTTGGTTGACGTCTGCTGATGGTTGGAGGTTGTTTGATCGGTGGCGTTGGTGATATTGGTGTTGCTGGTGTTGGTGCTGCTGGTGTTGGTGCTGTTGGTGGTGGCGTTGAGAAATGGTTGGCGAAATGTGGTTGTGCTGTTGAACGTGGTTGACGTGGTGGTTGTTGGTGGATCGTGTGTGGCGAGTGAACTCGTGGTGGGGCGGGTACCGGCTTGTGGCGTCACCGTGATGTAGTTGGTCGATTGTGACGTCACTATGTCGTCGATGGTAATCTGTGACGTCACCGTTTCGTCGATCGTCACCTGTGACGTCACCGTTTGATCCACGGTCGCCTGCGACGACCAAGTTGTGCTGCTTTTGACCTGTGACGTCAACGATCGGTCGCTGTTGGTCTGTGACGTTGAGGTGGGCGTGGTCTGGATGGGCGTGGTTTTGAAATCAGTTGTGGTTGTGACGTTACCCGGGCTGTCACTCGCGTTCTTCCTGTCACCCGCTACCCTCGCCTGCAGGTTCGTACCTCGAGGTTCGACCAGATCAACGTGCAGCAGGCGGTCGGCGCCCTTGATGAACGCGGAGACCGAATCGGCCACGGTCTCCGGGACGACGTTCAACGCGGAGGAAGCTTTTTGTTTGAACGTTTGTGACGTCAGATCCGGTTGGGTGGGGTCGGGGTTGACCTCAATACACCCGCAATCCGCTTTACTGAAATTTTTAAATTTAACATTCAAGATATAAATTTGAATAGATCAGATTATAATTGTGTCTTCAGAAAGATCTTAGGGGGTCGGCGTGGTCGAGTCGGTAAAGCTCATGGTTGCTAAACCGAAAAGTCTCGAGTTCGAACCCTCGGGTTGATGAGACAACTCCAAAATTAAACAACTGCTGCCTTGTAGATTGTTCTTGGTTGGACAAAGGCTATGGAAGCAAATCCAAAAAGAAAAGCAGGCTGAAATCGGAGTCAATGGCCTCAACGGCGCATAACCAGTTGACACGTAACGCTTAATTGTGTTGGAGGCGTGGTCGAGTCGGCAAAAGCAGATAAATCTCGATCCCCTTCAACACTAATAATTAAGAACGAAGAAGAAGAAAGATCTGAATATTCAAAGACGACACCTCCCCCCACCCTACCCTCTCCATCTGTGTAGCAACGATGCACGCATGTGGCATTACTCAACATAAACTGTGTATATTGTGAAATCAAATCAAAAGTCAAATCCTATTCTATATACTGCTTCGTTTTCGGAAAGTCGCTCTTTTTCGTTAACTTCTTTCTTTTAAATGCATCCTAATTTGTGCATTTATTGTCATTTAAAACACACGAAGGTACTTAAAGAAAAGAAACAAAAAACACTAGACTTATATCTTTTGATGGTATTATAAATAAACAACTGTAGAATGAAACTTATTTACTTACACTTTTAGATTAATTTAGACATTACTGTATGTGATTTTACAAAAAAAACCTCATTTCTTTATTGAAGTATCAAACAATAATTTAATTATTTTTAAATGAAACATCAAAATACAGTATCCTTTGCGTTTTTATCTTTTTGTGCTGTTGTAAAGGTCAAGGCCGGGTTTATAGTTGCGGTTAAGGTTAGCAATGGGGTCAAGATTAGGGTTTAGATCGTAGAGGCAGTACTGGGTTTGTGAATTTATACGTACAAAAAATACATTTAACCCGTCTTACCTAAAAATCAATGAATACCCAATTTATGTTAATTCATTTGATTCATTAACGTGGCTTACTAATGAAAATAATTGTTAAGTAATGATTATAGTATTACTAATGATAATAATAATTAAGTAAGTAATTAAGTAAATATTAAGTATGTAATTAAGTAAGTAAATAAGTAATTATTAAGTAAGTAATTAAGTAATTATTAAGTATGTAATTAAGTAATTATTAAGTAAGTAACTAAGTAATTATTAAGTAATGATTATATTATATTATTAATGATTATAATTATTAAGTAAGTAATTAAGTAATTATGAAGTACGCCCCGTCGACGACTTACCTAAAGACACGCTCCCCCGCTACACGTGGTTTTGATGCAGTGACCGTAGGCATTGCAGAACTTGAGCACGTTTGGTTGCCCGGGTACGGGTTCGAATCCACAACCTGACAACAACAAAATCTTCATTTAGTCTCGCCTCAGTGGAACATAATTTATATTCTTGTTTATGGTGTGGGGAGTGGGGGGGGTGGAGGGGGGTGAATTATCGTCGAAATCTGAGGTAGCGAAAATGTTGGACTGACTTGTTTTGTTATATAAATGTAGATTCTAGGTGTTCTTTATTTGTAGTCGAGAGATAGAGAGAGAAGTACATTGGAAAAAAAAAACTATTTTAAAGGAACTTAAGGTTTTTCTTCACACACGCACTCATACGCACGCAGTCACGCATTCGCTCACACACGTACACACAAACGCAAACATTCACTTGAGTATAAAAAGCGCACATACAATCACACCAACTCACCATGACATCGAAAAAAAATTCTGCAATAGCGTGACTACGCTAATATAAGACTCAAAAACGTGACTCCAAATTCATCAAAAACATGACGCAAAACACGACATATGACGTTACAAGAAACATGTACGTAACGGAAGCGGTAATGCCCAAACTTGTGTCACGTGTTTCCTTTTGACAACCCGCATCTAAAAATAGACCTGCTAAATCTAAACATCCGGTTTTTTAAATTAGAATTTTTAAAAGTACCCCCATACGGACATTAGAAATAGTCAAAAGAAATAAATCATGTTAGAAATAATAACGTAGTAGCGGATGTTTCTATTATTTTTATACAAGACAAAAACAAAAGATAAGTCTTGAGTAATTAATCATATTATTTATCACTTTTAAATTAAAAAAAAAAAAGAGATTTGAAAAAAAAATGAATACATACAAATGAGAGGTATTGTAGCGTGTGAGGTCATGTGACAACGTATGACAACATGTGAAGGAGAAAAAAGAATGGAAGATACACTGACAGGAACGTAAACCTGTGTTAAAACCACGTATAGTCGACCCCTTATACTAAATGTTCTCCGTTTTTTTTAAACACTTATAACATTTTACTTAACAAATACTTTGTTTCAATGTTTGATAGGAATCGGTTTTTTCCGATCGTGTGCGACCATCTATTTATATTGTTGGATTTCCCGGTCCAAATTTTGTGGAGACTCTTGAAAAATTATTTTTCCCTTATTTAAAACAAAGGTTGTAAATGTAAACTAGATCTAGGTTGAATCAGGATGAAAGGAGCACGGAAAAAATTCGGCCGGAAGTCAATAAATTATTTCTTCCTGTCCACGTTTTGTTTTTAAACGACGCGAAACGAAATGGGTCAGTGACCATGAAAATGTCAGGTTAACTTCCTGCTTTGTGTGACCCCCTCCTCGTCTTACACCGGAAGTCTCGGTGATCGTCTGCTCTGTTAAAATGAGGTCGGTTCTGTTTTACATACTGATTCACGATTCACCTACCCAATTTTGGTATATATATTAAAGCCCTATGTTTCTATGATTCATACTTTTACTATGAAATTCTTTATTAAATTTTCCTTATGGTGATTTTTTTTTTAAATTCTGGTAATTATACATTTACGTTGATTATATAAAACTAGGCATGCTGCCCAGCTTCGCTTAGGCTTTCGAAAAACATTGAGAATTGGAATGCTTAATTAATTCGCCCGAGGGTCGGTCTACGACCTCAGGAGTTATGAAGAGGTTCCTACGTGGACATTTTTTTTTCGATTAAAGCTCATATAAGGCGCCGGTCAGTCGAGGTCAGTGTTGACTCACTCATTGTAGGCTTTTCGGCCAACCGGCCCCCGTGTTCTGTCGCCCCAAGGCAAGATCCTGCCAAATTTAAAGCGCCTGCGGCGCCGGGAAATGCCCTATTGGGCACCCGACAACTTTGCTTTATATTATAGAGATTAGCAAATTGCAAAGATAAACAAAGATTTCAATAAAGTAATTAAGGCCTGAAATACTTTAGTATAGAAATGTATTATTTGAATCTCTAGATCTAGATGATCTAGAATATCTAGATCTAGAATATCTAGTTCTAGAATCCTAATAGAATTTTTTTTTTAAGTTTAGCCCGAGCAAAATTGTATTGTATAAATTTTATAGCGTAGCCTACGTAGATCTAAATAATATTTGAATAAAATAGTTCATTTCTTTTTATTCTAAACACGGCAGATGACGTCATTAGTTAATGTATAAACATTAGTGCCGTCACTGTTTTAAGCATTTTTTTCACAACTATAAATGCTTTTCCTGTTGCATAATTAAAACTGTTTTTCTACATTCGAATACACCTTTATTTTTTATTTTTCTTCTTTAAATAAAATTGTTGTTATACGTTTAAAACATCTACCATATTATTTTCAACAAAAGTCCGTAGCAAGTTCTCCATATATCGCTGAAGATTCTGACGTGATATCCGGCGAAAATATTTTGCGGACAGACAAAGAGAGAGAGAGAGAGAGAGAGAGAGAGAGAGAGAGAGATAGAGAGAGAGAGAGAGAGAGAGAGAGAGAGAGAGAGAAGTGCGCACATGGTCTATTATATTTTAGGATTATTTTAAAGCTTCACAATATTGAACCCCAAAAATTGTCATTTAGAATTTAGTAAAATATTTTTTTTAAAAGGGACTAAAATTATTTTTTAAAACTAATAATCTTGATTAGTTACCTCGAGTTCGCATAAATACGTCATAAGCCTCCTATGGTGTAAGGAGCCTCAGCAAGTTCTTGCAAAATTATCGACCATATT